CTGTCCACCCAACGGGTCAGAGCCAGTCACCTGGAACCAGATCTGTTTTCTCTGCGTCCTCACACCACACCCAGAACAGATGTGAGACTGGGAAGCACCTGGGGACTGTGGATGTGACAGTGGCAAGAACTGCACTAAGGCCTCCCAGCTGCTTTGACTGCCCCGTTTCCAGCCTTGTGGCTGTCCCCGGAGATGCTATGGGTGACAGCTGGAGAGTCTGAAGTTCTTACATGAGCAGGGGGCCAGGAGGAGTCACCGCCCACCACTCCCTCCGTTCCTGTTGGGGTCCTTCCCGCCATCTCTGTCTGTGGCCCTTTTGGGCCCTGAGTGGCCAGGAAGTTGGCAGGCACAGTCCTGGGAGTGGTGGGGCCTTGTAGGGTGACAGATAAGGTCTGGTAGCCTAAATGTCCCTTGGGATGGGGCCCTGGTCAGGATGGACTGTGGCGGCAGTACTGGGTATGTGGTGGTGGACATGGCCTTTGGGTGGAAATTACTTTTCCTGGGTGTGAGATCGTCTACGCAGAGCACAGGTGACATCCTATCCCAGGGAGGTCGTGGAGACCAAACTACTGTGACTTTTTAATGGACGATAATGGCTTCATGAAACAATTGCACAGTCCTTAACAGTTTACAAACCACTTCTGAGGACGATTCCATTTGAGCCTCCCACCAACGCCCTGTGCCATGGGCAGCACAGGTGGTGGCCTCAGCATTTTTCTGGCGAAAGGAGCGTAATGGGGGTTAGGGAATTCACAGAGCCTGAAGCGGTGGGCGGGGTTCAGATGACTTGGAGCTAAGAGCTTGGAATCAGTACTTAATAACAATTTGCGGTGACAATCTCAGGATTCAAATGTCAGAGCCAAATTAACCATCACAAAGGCAGATGGAAGTTCCTCTTCCTAGCTTAGCTCACAGCCCGCCGGCGCTCCCCACCAGCACGTCTCCGCTGGTGGCGGGGGTGGGGGGTGGGATGGTCCAGGACCTGACTGGTCGCTGCGAGGCCCTCTCACGCTGCTCCGTCCATTCCAGATATGGCAGGGGATAGACATCGAGACCAAGATGCACGTCCGCTTTCTTAACATGGAAACCATCGCCCTTTGCCACTGACCTGCCGCCCCCACCCCCGCCCCCCCAGGAGCCCCTGCCTCTGCGCTGGGCAGCGTCCCCACGAGCCCCGGGCCTTTCGCTGCGGCTCCTGTAAATAGTCAACATTTCTCCATTCATCTCGTTTCCCACAGGGTGTGGTATGCGGGACTTTGTTGTTTTTATCTCTAATAAAAAAGGAAGAGGGTTTGTTAATGAACGTGACTCCTGTCTGTTCCTCATGTCCACGCAAGTGGCTGGGCCATTTGGTGGCACGAGCCGAGTCTGGGGAACAAGCAGCAGCTGACTCATTTTCAAAGGCTGGTTCAGAAGAGATGAGGTTTTTCGTTTTGTTTTTGATTGTGATTTATTTTGGCAAAGTATCTGCTGTTTTCCCTGTACAGGTGCTGGGAAAATTCACCTGCCTTCTTGATCTGAGGCAGTAACGTAAGGACAAGCAGGTCCTTGCCCCGTGGGGGCAGGGACTTGGGTGGGGGGCTCCTCATTGTCCTGACTGCACGTGCCAGCTGTGCCGGCTGCAGGGACTCCCTGAGCTGGCCCCAGCGGTGCTGGGGGCACTGGCATTCAAGGCCTGGCTGGCCGACTCCAGGTGCCCCGGCTGGGTGTGCCATGGCTCGGTCAGGATGGGGGCCAGCTGCAGGGCCCAGCGCTGACAGTCCCCAGCGTCAGTGGCAGCAATAGAGACCGGACACAGCAGGGAAGGTGAGTGCCCAAGGTAAGCATCTCCCACAACTCCGTGGTCAGCTTCTGATTCGGGGACCGGCCGAGGCGGGGGTGGTGGGGGGAGGCGGAAGCAAAGGCGGTTCATCTCAGTTGGTGGCGGCGGCTCGTGAGCCAGCAGAGAGAGGGCTGGCACGTGTTGAACGTGCACAGCTGGTTCTCCATGGCACCGAGATCACCTGCTGACTCCCCCGGGCACGGTCCTGATGGCACTGGGTGCAGCGCAGCCATGGCTGTGGGAGCTGGTCGCTCGTCACATCCCAAGCCGCCTCCTGGTTGTCACGTGTACGACATGCTCGGTCCCTTTATCGACGCTCACTGGGAGGCACCATGCGAGGCTTCGAAGAAAGTTCTGCCAAGAACTGGCAACTGCTGTTATTTGCATCCTGGAATTTTTAATGCGTAGTCTTGATATCAAGCATGCTTTGTATCAGTTTTGTTACAGCCGCACACCGGGGTTCAGTCCGTAATGGGCACAGACAGGCATCGTACCCTTCGCCTGACCCCCCTTCCCCTCCTGGGGCGACCACATTAGCCCTTCCTTCCAGCTCTCTCCAGAGCTGTTTCGTGCACGTAGCAGCAGATACTTGCTTTGGGTGAGGTTACTGTCGGTATTTAAATTTAAAAACCCAAACAGAGCAGTGAGATGCGTTAAAGGGGACAGTGTGACGAGGGGGGCAGGACTTGGCGTGCATGGAGCTTGTGAAGTCCCCATCGGTCGGTGAGAAGGCTGACGCGAGGCGCGTGCCCACATCCTGTCGCCAGGACACATGGAGGATGGGGCCGGGGCCCCTCGACCCAGCCGTACCTGAGAATGCCGGCCTGGACCAGGCCACCGCGGTCTCACGAGGCGAACCGTGGCCTCCACTCTCCCCGATGCCGGCAGATGGGCGGTCGGAGGCTGCGTGGCCCGACCTCTGGGTGACGAGGATGGTCTGAAGTCACTTTCAGAATGCTGCTTCTTACACTAGCACTTAATGCAGCCAACGTGTAGATACATTCAGCACGGTGGGTCAGGGGCGAAGGCCTCTGCTTCCTGCCCCTTCGTGGGGGAGGCCAGCCCTGAAAACTAGAAAGCAGACACCCAGGCAGTCTCTCTGGGGGCTACGGGGGCAGTAGGACAGTTCTCCCTCCCCGCTCCTGCCTCCCTCTCCCTCGCTGCTGGGGAGTGTCTTGCTTGTGCCCTTGGGTTCCCTGGCTGCCAGCAGGAGGAATCTAGCACGTCGCCAGACAGCCTGGCGTGGTGGAATCTGGTACTAGTTAGCTCTTGTCCAGGAAGCATCTCTAGCGACAGCCTCGCAGCCTTGAGAGGCATGCGTCTCCCTTCACGCGCCTCGTCCCTCCCATGTGGTGGCCCCCGTGTCGCTGAGCAGCAGGATCACTGGCAAGGCCTGGATTTCCTGAGACTCTCCCAGTTTAATTTTGTTCTTCTCGACAAAGGCAGTTCATTAATGCAAAGTGTTTTTATAAATAATGAATCTTCCGTCAGCCCCTGTGCCTCGAGTTTGAGTCTGGGAGATGTGGGCACACATCAAACGGTTTCACTTGTTCGGGCCACAGAGGGAGCCGGCCTGATGTCTTTGAAGCTTCGGGCCATGGCTTACCTTAAACAGCTAATTAAAATGAGATTTATTCACCGGGAGCCCAGTCCATGCAGCTCAAAAGGGAGCTAATTTGTTCAGCCGCCGAGGGTGGCCTCTGCCTGGCAGGGCTGCCGAGCTCACTTGGAGCTCTCCCGCCCGGCTCTGGGCGCTGTGTCCATGAGACCTGCTTTTGCTCACTCGGTCATTTGAGGAGTGATCAGGGTTGGCTATTAGTTGGTGCAAACCTCCTAAAAAGGGCAGATCAATACCCCACCATCTAGCGGGGCTGCTGGCCTTTGATGAACAAGGCTGTGGGTCGCTGCTCTGGGCACAGGTCTCAGATGGCCAGCTGGGCAGTGTGGTGTGGACAGGGGACGGAGGCAGGTGGCTTGGAAACAGCTCCTCTTACCTGCTGGACGAGTGGGTGCGCCCAGGAAGGGCCTTTCAGCCGCACAGACCCTGAGCAAGTCCAGCAACGCCCCCGGTCCCTGGATGGGGCACCCCATCTAAGCAGCCGGATGCAGGTGGCATTTGTTCTAAAACAGGCAACTGATAAGTCAAACAGGCGTATCTGTTAACAGCCTTCCTTCTAGCAGGAATAAGAACAGTGACTAAAAGGAAGTGGGGAAAAATCAATGCAAAGTCCAGTATTTTAGGGAAGCTGATAAGTCAGAGCTTTGAGGGCCTCAAGCTATGGGTGGGGAAGACCAGGCAAGGACGGTGTCCTCAGCCTGCCGGATGGTAGCGTGAGGTCACTTCTACGTGTGTCTTTACCCAGGAATCTGGTCGAGAGTGGGAGCGCGTCCTCCACTGCCATGGTACTGGGAACCCAGCTTTTGGATGAACGCGGCGATGTGACACAAACACAGCCACGTGGTAGGTTTACAGAAAGGCCATGGAATGGAAATCTAATCCGAGAAGCTCGGGAGACTTTCCACAGCCGCTCTGGACATGCATCATGGATGAGGGCACAGAGGAAGGTGACGGCAGCTTCCGGTTTGGGCCCGGCACCCTCTCAGGGAACGAATTATTGCCTGACTTTAACAAAACAATTCCATTATCTCTGGTCCAAGGGACTGGAAAAGCCCTTTTGGTGCTTTGCTAATGGGAGACAGGTCACACGCATGGATCTGATCCTTGTCGCTGAGCGGCTGAACCTGTTCCTACCTGCCTGCAGTTAACAGGGCTGAAGCTGAACTGTGTCGCTGCAGACAGCACAGTGACTTACGTAGGCTGATGCAGAGTTAAAAATACAAGTTGCCTTGGCAAGGGTTCTGCAAACACCTGCTTTGCAAGCTGTCCTCCCACACAGTGACCTTGGGAAGGCCTTGGAGAGTTGAGTGGGAGGAGCCAGGGTTTTAACCACAACTTCCCAGGGCCTCGGGGTCACCTTTGTCTCTGAGCTCTTCCATGATCAGTGAACAAGTACTAGCAGGGGTTCAGTGGTGGATGATTCAGGCCCCGGCAGGACCGAAGACTGATGGTGTCTACTCATCCCTCTACCTAGCCTGTCGACCAAGCCAGCAAGGGACTAGGTCTGGTCTTTACCCCAAGAGTGGTTCACGGGCACAGGATGGCCGAGGGATGTGCTGAGAAGCACTCTGCTGCCACCGCCACCTCAGAGGAATGACGAGGCAGCATTCGTCCCAACACCGGACAAGGGAAGAGGAGATATGACAAGACAGGCTCAGCTCTCAGGGGGAGGTGGAACTCTCCCTCCCTCCCTCCCTCTCCTAGGGAATGAAAAGGTCCCGGTGCCGAGCCATTGTTGGAAGCCCATGTTCAATATGAGGCTGAAAGCGAGTCGGCACCCACGTGGTGTCCACTGGAGCCCGGCGAGGGGGACTCTGCCAGCACACATCAGAGGCAGCCCCTGTCCAAATCGCCACAGGCCCCTGCAGCAGGAGCCAAGTGACCATCTGGCCTGGCCACGCGGGGTGAGGCAGGCGAGTGTGTATGGCTCAGAGCGCAGTGGCCCATGCCGGCCAGCTCCATAAGCTCGGCTAGCACAGCTGCTGCCCAAGGCGAAGGCCCAAGGTGGGACTGTCACAGACCTGCCCGTGATGGCTGGCCACCAGACAGCTTTCATAAGACTGGGCCCTCACCAGAGGAAGCCATTTCTCTATAATGCTGGGCACAGTTTGGCATTTAAATACAGGGCGGGAAGCATTAGCATCTTAAATTTGGGGCCACTAGTTCTTGAGGGGGGTGGGCGGGGAGTTGTCAGTTTTCCCTGCCAGGAAGGACCAAAATGATACTGTTGGGGAAATTTGGTGTTTCCTCTGATCAGCTGAACCCAGTCAGCCGGGGCGAGGCTTCCACGTGGCAGGGGAAGGTGATGCCGTCCTAGGCTCTTTTAACCATGAATTATTGCTGGGGCAGCAGCAGCACCAAGGCGGCACGTGGCCTGGACTGAAAAGCGCAATCTAGTGGCAGAGATGGAATTCTCAGAAAATGCCCTGGTGTACCATTTCACATGTAATTTTGTGGGTTTTTGGATCCTGGGCTGGGAACCAAGTAGTGGTGATTCCGGGAAAACTACTCAACTGTGGACTTCAAAAGCAGGCCACCGTGCAAGGTGAGCCTTCCGGGGGCGGGAGGGTGCTGTCATAGTGGGCCTTGCCAGGAGGTGAAAAATCATTTGAGCAATAAATAAATTTAAAAAATTTAATATTAGAACCAACATAGACATAAAGTAGAAAGCAAAAGTCATACAATGTTTTGAGACAAGACACTAGAGTCTTAGCGTCTGGCCCCCCGGCGCCCCCACAGCTTATGGGAGTCTCTGTCATCAGGGGAGGCAGCGAGGGCAGAGAGTGAGAAGCAGAAGGCTGCAGAGAAAAGATGATGAGTCCGCTGCCAACTCCACCTGCGAAGGAGCTCCCTCAAAACAGCC